TGCGGGCTGTCACCTGAGGGATGTGCTAGTGTCAGGCTACAGGAGAGGTGGTAGGGCCAGGATTGGTGAAGGAGAGGGTCACCCACTTTCCCACCTGGCCCCTTGGGGGCCAATGTATGGGGTCAATGTACCAGGCCTCCACTGAAAAGGCAAAGGGATTCAGACATCAGTTCCCAGCCAGTTCTGCACATCCTATCCAGGCTCACTTCAAGGTCAGCATGAGACTGGCTGGTGCCCTGGCTGCTGAAGAGTGGGTGAGGGAGCAGAGTAGACAACAGTGATCAGCTCTGTGCCCAACTAGGGCTATGTCTGCTGGGGAGGCGGTGATGGGCTGTCCCCTCCTCTCAGTCCCTCCCTCAAAGAAGGTGCTTTCTGTGACCTGGCTTAATCTTCCAGAGGCAGGTCAAGGGGGTGACCACAGGGATGCCTGCCAGAGGCAACTCAAGAGGACAGGCTTGAGCTGCTGGGCTGGGATATCAGTCCACTTTCTAACACAACACACCAGGGAAAGAAGCCTCTCTCAGCAGCTGTTCCAAAGCCAGAGGTTTCTCAGTACTGTGTCTCTTCCTGAAGTTCCAGTTCCATACAGAACCAGGCCTGCAGGGACGGATAGGGTACAAGAGACTGACAAGTAAACCAGCTGCCCAGCTGCCCAGCCCCTACAGCAGCAAGGTGGAGGATGGGGCAGGTCCTTCTCCCCCAGACTAGATGAAATATGCTGGTGCTCACCCCATAAACTGACCCCCTTCCACAAACCTGACCCTTACTGGGATCAACTGCCCCTTCTCGCCCCACACCATGGCTCTGACACTGTCCTTGAGGAAGACATCCTGGAGTGAAATAGCTGTGTAATATCAAGAACTTACTTGCCTGACCTCTGTCACAGGCCCCTCACCTGTAAAACTGGGATAATGAAGAAACCTCATAGTAAGCAAGTACACCGACTTAGGAAGTGGACAGTAAGAGGGCAAGAACAGGGAAGTACCATCCTTAGACCCTCCATAAATCCACAATCCCACACCTTGCAAACACCCCTAACCACGGCTCCAGGCTCACAGACTCTCAAGATGAGGGCACCCCAGTGCCCCTCCACTTACCACCGGGCTGGACTCCGCCCTGCCTCACCTGGGATCCTGGCCACAAGCTTCTGTCTAGTGACACCCACTAATACCACGCCTCACTCTCATCCACTCCTCCCAAGCGGCTTTCTCTGCCCCCCGACCGGGTGAGGAGGGGATGTGCAGCTGACTCCCGCACCACCCCCAAGATGAGGGCACCCCAGTGCCCCTCCACTTACCACCGGGCTGGACTCCGCCCTGCCTCACCTGGGATCCTGGCCACAAGCTTCTGTCTAGTGACACCCACTAATACCACGCCTCACTCTCATCCACTCCTCCCAAGCGGCTTTCTCTGCCCCCCGACCGGGTGAGGAGGGGATGTGCAGCTGACTCCCGCACCACCCCCCACCCCC